TCTGTACCTCATTGATGGCTAGGACCACAGGGGTCCCACAGTTCTTTATAATTCTTCGGGGGTATTTTCTGAAGGTTACTTTCAGGGTTGCGTATGTGCATTTGGTCCCTGAGAGTGAATGTCTCCCTAGGTTGCCTTAGTCTCAGTCCCATAGTGCAAGACACTACAGCATTGAGAAAAGAGCTTTGAACAAGCTTGAGTCCAAATTCAGGTTCTGTCATTTCCTGGCTATGTGGCCTAGGGTAAATTACCTTCTTTGGCCCTCAGTCTTTCCTCTGTAAAAGGGAAATAAGAATGCCTACTATACAGAATTGTCATGAAGTTTAAATAATTTCATGTGTGTATCTTATTAATAAATTATAGTATTCTACTTACTCTTGTAACAAGGCAAGGCCCTAAGCTAGGCTTTGTATCAGATATGATGGTAAATAAGACATGGTATTGACCCCAAATATTTAGTGTGGTGGGGAGGGAGACATCCCTCCTTCAGGCACTCTGACATGTTATGTTCCACTTAAAGGTTTTTTTTTTTTTTTTGAGACGGAGTTTCGCACTTGTTACCCAGGCTGGAGTGCAATGGCGCGATCTCGGCTCACTGCAACCTCCGCCTCCTGGGCTCAGGCAATTCTCCTGCCTCAGCCTCCTGAGTAGCTGGGATTACAGGCATGTGCCACCATGCCCAGCTAATTTTTTTTGTATTTTTAGTAGAGACGGGGTTTCACCATGTTGACCAGGATGGTCTCGATCTCTTGACCTCATGATCCACCCGCCTCGGCCTCCCAAAGTGCTGGGATTACAGGCTTGAGCCACCGCGCCCGGCCCACTTAAAGGTTTAAAAGATCCCACAAATTCTGAAATCATTCAGTCACTCAACAAATTCCAGTCATCCCTGGGTCTGCTTTGTGGATATTCCTGCTTGGGGCTTTGAGTCAGAGTTCTGCAGGAAGATAGAGAGGGAAAGGCGATCTCTCATCAAGGAAAGGAGGGAGAGAGAAGGAAAACAAAGAGGATTCCCTGCCTGCACACTTAACTGAAGGGAAGACCACTGTGGCCTAAGCCTTGGACACTCTGTCTAGTGTTCTAGCCTTTGGATAATTTCTTTTTTTTTGTTTGTTTTTATTTTTATGTTTTTGGAGACTGAGTCTCACTCTGTTGCCCAGGCTGGAGTGCAGTGGTGTGATCTCGGGTCACTGCAACCTCTATCTCCCTGGTTCAAGCAATTCCCCCGCCTCAGCCTCCCGAGTAGCTGGGATTACAGGCATGCACCACCATGTACAGCTAAATTTTTTGTATTTTTGGTAGAGACAGGGTTTCACCGTGTTGGCCAGACTTGTCTTGAACTCCTGACTTCAGGCGATCTGCCCACCTTGGCTTCCCAAAGTGCTTGGATTACAGCATGAGCCACTCCGTCCGGCTGGGATAATTTATTTCTAAGAGAAGGACGTCCTCTTCCTTATTCACTGGAGATTTGGCCTCCTTACTCCTCACCCCTGTCCAGGCTGAAGTGTGCAGAGGGTGCAATTGCACGGGCTTATGGTCACATATGAACTCAGGCTTCAAATCCTTGGTTCTTCCAGGCCCCCTACTCTTTTTTTTTTTTTTCCCCTGTCTTCTGATCTTTGTGTGTAAGCTTTTTTTTTTTTTTTTTTTTTTTTTTTCTGGTAGGATCAACTAGGTATGTAAACTTTTTGATAGCAGGGCTATAGCATAGAACAGTGGATTTTTTTTTTTTTTTTTCAGGCGGAGTTTCACTCTTGTTACCCAGGCTGGAGTGCAATGGCGCGATCTCGGCTCACCGCAACCTCTGCCTCCTGGGTTCAGGCAATTCTCCTGCCTCAGCCTCCTGAGTAGCTGGGATTACAGGCACCCGCCACCACGCCCAGCTAATTTTTTGTATTTTTAGTAGAGACGGGGTTTCACCATGTTGACCAGGATGGTCTCCATCTCTTGACCTCGTGATCCACCCGCCTTGGCCTCCCAAAGTGCTGGGATTACAGGCGTGAGCCACCGCGCCCGGCCAGAACAGTGGATTTTTATCTCAAATATGCCCTTCAATGAGTAGCATGGTCTTAGATGGCATAGCTTCCCAAATGAACTTGTTGCAGCTGAGTTGAAGGTGGACATGGCAGTGGGCTGCTCGGAGTGGCACCTCCTGTAAGTAGGCACTCAGAGACTGACAAATGAATGATGTATCGTGGGCTCCACGTGACCCCGAGCCAACCTCAGAGATGTTTGCTAAACGTGTTTCTGGCTCTGTTGGGACATGTGTCCTTGGAGCCCTGCCATCTGGGTAGGGAAGGTGCAGCTTTATAGATCGATGTGGCTTTTTAGAGTGTGGCAGAAAACCAGGCAATCCCCAGCCCAGCGTGGAGGGAGCCAGCAATCCTCAGACGCACACTTCAAGCCTGGCAGGTGTGAGTGTGTAAGAGAAGGGGGAGGGAGTTGCTTCCTATTTATTGGTCATTGAGATGGAATGAGATGGTTATTCAGAAAGTCCTGTCTACCTTCCTAAACCTACCAGAATTGAAGTCCAAGACTTATAAGTGGATGGCTACCACAGAGAGGGAGAGTGGTGGCGCATGGGGGTAATTGCAACTCATAATGAAAATGGAAATGTGAAGATGAAGCAAAGATATGCAAAATCCTACCTTGTGCAGTATTTTTTTTTTTTTTTTTTTTTTTTTTTTTTTTTTTTTTGAGGCGGAGTTTCGCTCTTGTTACCCAGGCTGGAGTGCAATGGCGTGACCTCGGCTCACCGCAACCTCCGCCTCCTGGGTTCAGGCAATTCTCCTACCTCAGCCTCCTGAGTAGCTGGGATTACAGGCACGCGCCACCACGCCCAGCTAATTTTTTGTATTTTTAGTAGAGACGGGGTTTCACCATGTTGACCAGGATGGTCTCGATCTCTCAACCTCGTGATCCACCCGCCTCGGCCTCCCAAAGTGCTGGGATTACAGGCTTGAGCCACCGTGCCTGGCCTCCTTGTGCAGTATTAATTGCTCACAGTAGTCAAGTGCTACTCTGTGCCAGGACCTGTGCTTCGGTGCATTATGTGGTTTCATTGGCACAGCTCACAGTATGGTCATCATTCCCATTTTACTGATAGGGAAACAGGTTAGTGACTGCCTGGTGTCACAGTAAGTGGTGGAGCAGGCATACACATTTGGCATCTATGATATCTACAAACTGTAGCACCTCAGAGCTGGAGAAAATCTTAGAGAACATCTAATTCAGCCTCTTTATAATCAGGTGGGGAAATGATGCCAGCCCTAAGATTTGCCCACAGTCAGGACTCAGGTGAGGCAGGGAGGCTCTGAAGGGGGAATTTAAAGTGGCACTCACCCTCTGTTGGGGACTCTGTGGGGCACTCCGCATGCCCCACCGAGTCCTAGCCTTCAGCAGATGTTTCTTCTGGTTTTGTGGTGTGAACCACAGAGGCCCAGGCCGGGCTTTATGGACTTGATTTGATATCCCAAAGTGAGGAACGAATAGAATATTGTGCGGAGTTTTGCCAGCACCCCAAAGTAGATTTTTACCCAGGGGCTGAGTGGAGGTACTACTTCTGATTGGTAGCACAGAAGGAGAGCAAACTCTGGCCCCAGAAATAAGGGGTGAAACTAGGAGAATCCTGGTCGTGTGGGGCCACAGGGTGGACTCCATGGGAACAGAGACTCCACGTCTCTCCTCCGGACGCCACTGGGCTGAAATGAGGAAGTGCCAGGAATAGCTTCTAGGGGAGGGACTTGCCCCATCAGACCCAGAAAGGCCTGGGAGGGTTAGGTGTGCAGACACACGGACAGACACACAGCTCCCAGTCTCAGGCATTAGGCCTGATTTATTTGCAAAAATTCCTCTCTCCACCTGTGTATGGCCACCTTTACAAGCCTGGGCCTTCCCGCTCCGGTTTTAGTTCAAGGACAAAAGAAGGCAACCCCCACGAACAAAGTACCATGCTATCATTCCTATCGCCTGTGATTGGGAGTCTGCTTTTCCTGGAGAGGGGTGGGAGGTAAGAGCCAGGTCTTTACCCCCGCCCGGCTCAGCCTCACTAGGAGTGTCCAGGAGCAGCCAGGTGGCCCCAGTTGCTGTCGCAGGGGGCAGGGGGAAGGCTTCCTCCCAGAGGCCCCAGGGACGTGAGCGCAGGAGCAAGCAAAGGGACGGGAACAAGCTGACCGGACTCTGGTGCCCTCGCACTCCCCGCATCAGTGCGGGAGCCCAGTCCCAGGCTGCAAGGAGCAGTGGGCGTCTCGACCTTGCCTGTAGTAGACCTTGGCAAGGCAAGTCTCTTGTCCTCTTCTCCTTGGGTCTCAGTTTACTCATCTCACCAGGCACGGCTCAGCCCGACTTGGGTCTTAACATTTTGAGGTCTTTGCTTTTCTTGCCATTTCCCTGGCCCAGACATTTCTCAAGCTCCTGTCTTGAGTCCCTATCTCCAGCCCTGCCCGTCCCTCTGAGTCCTCGGCCTGTTAGGAGCACCGCCTGGGGGTGCCCCTGGCTCCCTTTAACCCCCCGACCCCCACTCCCACGCCCGGGATCTCCCAACCATAGCACGAAGGAAAGGCGGAGTAGGGAAGAGAAGGGAGAGTAGACCCTCGAGAAGGTTAGAAGGAGGAGAAAATAGAAAATAGAGAAACAAGGGAGCAAGAGAAACGAGCAAAAGAACGAAAGTGGGGAGGAATGAGGTGAGATGCTGGAAAGGGTTGAATCGGAGGAAAAGGGGAATCCAAAGGCATGCTGAAGAGAGAGACTGAAGACAGGAAAAAGAACGAACGAGCGCGCGCAAAACAGCAGGGGCTGAAAGGACCAAAGAGAGAGAAAGAGGAAAAAAAAAGAGGGAGGGTGTGCGGGAGAGCGGAGGGAGGGAGCTGCGAGCCGGGAGGAGGGAGGCTGGGCGGGAAGGAGAGGGAGGGGCCGAGGGACTAAGCGAGTGGGGGCTGGCTCAGCAGCAGCCGCCGCGGCTCCAGCCGCCCGCCCGCTCGCTTGCTCAGTCGCTCAGTAGCTCCCGGTGCCCGCCGCCCGGCTGCTCGCAGCTCCAGCTCCTGCCCGGCGCTCTGGCCCGGCTCGGGCTCCTGGGTACAGGACCGCGCGACTGGCCGGCCGAGCCCCGGGCCGGCCGCGGGAGCAGGTAGGTGGCTGGGTGGGGACGGTGGGGACCGCGAGGATGCGGAGCCTCGGACTCCAAGGCGCACCAGGGGACATGGGAGTGGAGGTTCCGACCCCGGGGAGGGGACTTTGCAGCTCCGCGACTAACTTTTCACCAGCTCCGTGGATCCCCGGCCGCCCTGCTTGGGTCCCGGCTGCCGAAGCCAAGTTTGGCGCGGGAAGGAAGTGGATGCCGGGGCTTGCGGGAGCGCCAGGGGTTTCGAGCAGGACGTGGGGGCGCCTCGGTGTAGGCAGGCGCAGCCCTCCGGCCGCAGTCGGGATGCAGCGTCCGCGGCGCCTCCACGTGCGGGGGAAGACCAGAGAGCAGCCGCAAGGCGCGGGTGTTCCGGGGAGGGCGCCCACCCACCCCCTTGAGTCTGGGGACTCCGCTCTCAAGCTGCTCTGGGTACGCGGGCTGCGTGCACTGCACCGGCGCTTTCCCCGCTGGGGTCGGGACGCAGAGCCTGCGGGGACGCGGCAGGTTCCCCGCAGTGGCCAGCGGTGCTCCTCCTGGTCTCCAAGCCCCAGCAGGTGCCATGCACCCTTTTGCTTTTGGGAGAAGCGAAACAGAATATGTATCACCCTATTTCTTTTTCATCCCGTCCCCTTTACTCTATGCCGGGAAGTGCAGGACCCGGACGGCCATGTGGGTTGGCTTCCTGGACGGCCTTCCAGCCCTCGGCGGCGACCCTGGCTCCCAAAGTTAAAGGAGAAGCGAGTCACTCTCTGCGAGCGCCTGGAGCGTGGTCCCGAAGTTCCCAACTTCTCGCCCAGCCGTGGGCGGTAGTGTTGGAGGTGGGGAAATGGGTGGTGGTTGTGGCTCCTGGGACCTGCCGTGCGCAGCCGCCTTCCTCCTGGACTTGGTTTATTTTCCTAATTTGTTAGAAAAAAAATACTACTTAAAAATAGAATCGTTCCTCGCGGGCGTCAAGGCTCATTAGTGGGACGCAGCCATCACCTGTCCTGAGCCTGGGAGCGCCGAGCCTCGGCGTGGAGGTCCCCGGAGCCCCCGAACCCGGGCGGCTTCTCCTGGACCTGGACTCGCTGGCTCCATCCCGCGGCAGCCGCATCTCGGGATGCGTGCACCGCAGCCGGCGCTGCGAGGCCAGTGTGACTGTCTCCCGGGTGGTGATGCTCTCCGGAAAAATATTTCAAAGTGGGTCCTTTTCAGGATCGCCCACCCTCCATCCCTCCAAGAGCCGAGAGAACCGGGTCTTCAGCGGGTTGAAGGAGGCCTTTGGGATGGTTTGGGCTACCGGCCATCTCGGCTCGCTTGGGCAGGGGTCCTCGTGCCGGCTACCGGCGCTCCTCCGGCGCTCTGCCGGGGAAACAGGGGTTAAAGCCCGGGCTGCGGGGGTGGGGCGGCGCGCGGCGGCAGGCCGGGGCAATTGGAGCCTGTCCGGGGGCTCTGTCCCACAAGCTCCCGGAGTCGGAGGTGCAGGATTCGCCGACCTCTGCGGCTTCTCGGAGCCAGCGGAGACCCGGTCCAGCAGCTCTCTTTGTTGGGGTGCTGTCGGGAGATTCTCTTCAGAGGTTTAGGGGGTTTCGTGGGACCAAACTCGGGGCTTTGCGGAGAGGGTCTCTCTGCAGTCGCTCCCTGCAGATTGGGCGGGGTGCCCCGAGGGCATTGAACAGACGGTGAGCATCCTCTGCTCCTCTGGCGGATTTTCCTGGTACACACTATGCACCCGCTCTCTCCGTTGCTCACATTTTGTGTAAGCCGCTAGAAATTCCAGGTCTAGGACTGCAATTTTGCCGCTTCCTCCCACTCACAGATCAGCAAACTGAGGTCCTGAGAAGTGAAAAGCCCTGCTTAGAGCTGCTATACGGAGGAAGAGTAGGTAAACCAAGTCTCCTGACTTTTGAGTCAGGTCCTTTTCTAGTACTCCACGCGAACTTTACAGCTTTCTTCGCACAGGGCAGGTGCTCCCAGTCAGGCCACTGCACATCTTTGACAGGCTCCGGGCCTGGGTGTGTGTGAGGTTAGAGGCAAAGGATCCGTCTCTGGATTTTCAGGTTAGGTGCTGTGCTGGGAGCATCTCCCAGGATAAATCACTCTTGTGACAGTCTGTTGCATACCTGTTCTGTCCCTGCACCGGGCCCTGGGGGTAAATGGAGGCCACACAGAGGGCTCAGCCCCATCAGGTGCCATCTATAGGGAAAGAGGAGCCATTGATTTGTAGTCAAGGAAGTGAGTGCAAGTCGGCATTCTCAGGTGAAATCACTTCGGGAGGGGCTGGATTAGGGATGGTCCCTGGAGAAGGCAAGATTAGGAGCTGATCCTCAGTAGGTTTCCAGGTGGGGAAGGAGGGTTGTCAGGACACAGGGGGATGAGTCCCAAGAAGGAGGCGGGAAAGCTAGTTAAGTGGCTGGTCAAAGCACAGCACTGTAAGGGCCAATGAGCACTGGGCCTCTGAGTGAGAATCACTAGGGAAGCTACAAGAGCCAGTTGCTCAAAGAGTGCAAGCTTAGAACGCGGCCCCAGAAGTCTTCTCGGCCTAGACTTAGAGTGAGCAGTTGGCTGGCAAGTCAGTGCCCCAAGGCAGAGCCAAGGGTGGTGGAGTCAGATGGGCAATATTCTGGCTTTTGCTTCTTTTTTCCTTTCTCACGATTCCCAGGGGTTTCAATCATTCTCATTCTTTTGATCCGTCCCTTTTTTTCCCCCATTCCCTTTTTTTTTTTTTTTTGAGACAAGAGTCTCACTTTCTCACACAGGCTAGAATGCAGTGGCATGATCTTGGCTCACTGCAACCTCTGCCTTCTGGGTTCAAGTGATTTTCCAGCCTCAGCCTCCCAAGTAGCTGGGACTACAGGTGTGTGCCATCACACCCGGCTAATTTTTGTATTTTTAGTAGAAACGGGGTTTCACCATGTTGGCCAGGCTGGTCTCGAACTCCTGACCTCAAGCAGTCGTCCTGCTTCGGCCTCCCAAAGTGCTGGGATTACAGGCAGGAGCCACCTTTTGCCTCTTCTTTTGCCTCTTGCCCAGCCCTTTTGCCTCTTCCCAACCATAACTTTTAGCTACTTCAGTGTTCTGGGCTTATGAAAAGCAGGAACATGCAGTCAGCAAATAGTTCTTGAGCTCTTTCTTTGTGCTAGGCGCTGGTCTAGGCCCTTGGGATACAGTGATGAATCAGACAGGAAGTGTCCCATACCTTGTGATGCTGACATTCTTTTTTTTTTTTTTTTTTTTTTTTTGAGACGGAGTTTCGCTCTTGTTACCCAGGCTGGAGTGCAATGGCGCGATCTCGGCTCACCGCAACCTCCGCCTCCTGGGTTCAGGCAATTCTCCTGCCTCAGCCTCTTGAGTAGCTGGGATTACAGGCACGCGCCACCATGCCCAGCTAATTTTTTGTATTTTTAGTAGAGACGGGGTTTCACCATGTTGACCAGGATGGTCTCGATCTCTTGACCTTGTGATCCACCCGCCTCAGCCTCCCAAAGTGCTGGGATTACAGACGTGAACCACTGCGCCTGGCAGTGATGCTGACATTCTAAGCTCTGTCCTCCATAGGCTTAAAGTCTAGTTATAGAACAGAGGCAAATATGTAAATGATGTCTGAAGAAGTCCTAAAATGGGACAATATAACAGAAATCTGAATCTCCCCTCTAGTGGCTCAAGGCTCCAAGGTGAAAGGTTTGAAGCTGTTGGCTGTGCAATTTACCCATGACCCCAGCTCCTGGTTGCCAGGAGTAACGCAGAGGCAGCTGCAGTGTGACCTTAGATGCAGCATCGAAGAACTGCTGCCAAGCAGGCTACAGTGGCAGGGAGCTGGTGAATGTTGGCAACTATGATCTTGCTAGGTATCCGTAGAGACTGGTGCCAGGTAACCATGTCCCTCTTAAATTTCAGCATCCTCAACTGGTGTGCTCTGGAGCTCCATTGTACAGATGGGTAAATGGAGGCCTGGATCTGCAGATTGGGAAGGCTGTGCAGTAAGAGGGGCCCAGCCCATATAGAATCCAGGTGTCCCTGATACCCGATTCAATTTAAAATGCTGATCATTTCTTCTTAGAAATGCATTTCTTCCTGGCACAGTAGTGATGCTCAGATTTCAGTGTGGAGGGCTTGTGAAAACACGTGTTACGAGGCCACACTCCCAACGTTCTGACTCAGTGGGTGTGGAATAGGTCCAGTAATTTGCATTTCTAAACAAGTTCCTAGGTGATGCTGATGCTCTAGTTCTGGAGACCACACTTTGAAAACCAATGTGGTAGAACGAGGGAAAGTGAATGATTTTATTTTTTGAGATTACAAAATTGGGGAGCCTGGAATGAAGGCTGTGATTTAGTTCTAGGAACTCATAGGACTTGCTATGTGCATCCCCTCCCCCTCACCCCCCAGGAGGCCATAGAATTAAAAGAATATTTTATCTTCATCAGCACACACACAGAGAGAATATATTGCAATGTAATTAGGGAATAAATAGGTGTCGTGTATTGGATGTAGACTCCATCCCTGGTGGCGCTGTGGGGGTTTATTATAGCACTGTTGTAATTGAAAAGGTGTCATCCACTCTGAGAGCCCCTCATGAAACTTTCATGGTCTGGGTGGTCATTGTCCAAAAAAAAATCTTTTCTTTATTTAGAAGACTGAAAATCAGAGAGATTGCTTCTCCTGCTAATGGGACCATCTATTTCATTTGACAGTAACTATGTAATGTATTCTTAAGGAAGCGGCAGGGGTTGGGGGGGGAGCAACTGAACAGTCAGTGTGAACAGAGAGGGGCTGAAGGAAGTCCACATCACAGGTTCACAGGTCTGTTTCTTGAGCATTTCAAAATGTTTTGAAACTCTGTCTGTCTGTCTTCCTGTCTTTCTGATATAAAACTGTATCTCAGCAGGAAGAGGAGAGTTTGCGTTTCCGCATAGCTGGTCGGGTAAATGTAACAGCACACTTTATCCCCAATGTGTTAATTAGACCCGAAAGAAAAGAATCATAAAAGAGTTGTTCTCCTAAACGCCGGCATTTTTCATCTGGAT